CTGTGCGAAGTTTTAGCTAACTTTCCCATTGGAAATGACATGAATTGGCAGTCAGTGCTATACGTGTGTTGATATGATCTCAAGTGAAATATAATCTCGCTAAATTAGTTATGTCTTATCGCACATCATATGAGCTCTGTTTTCGGGTGACTCGCCTACTGGTGCTGTCGTTGGCGCTGATATTATGTGCAAAATATTCAGTCAATTGTACGGAAGTCACGACTACTCTGAACGCGAGTATTGATTATGAAGTCGAGGAGACGACAGAAGTGGACAGGAGTTTGCAATTCATTGATACCATTAGTGATGAGTTTCTCAGTTTTGTTGCCGAAAATCATACAAACGGTTTGAGAAATGTTTTTGTTTTATAATTATTTTTGTAAATTTATTTATTATACTAGTTGTGAATCTTTTATATTTTTATAGTTATATATTTTTTAGCTTTAACATTTAATATAGGTATAGGTGCTTTATGTTTAAAAATAATATCTTTATAACTTTGATTAAGAATTGGAATATTATTTAACATAAAATTTTATATATTATGTTTAGTTTAAGTAATAAATTTATTATAGCCTATAATTGGTAGCATACAATATATTTATTTTTAAATACAAATTACTAAATTTAAATATCTTATATACCGCACTCATTTTATTATATAATATAGAAAGCGCAAATAATACTTATACAGTAATCATTGAAAATATTTTAAAAATGAATTTCCATTGAAATTATAATTTATATTTACGTTAAATAATTGGATTTTAAAGTTTATTAAATTATAAAAAAATTTCTATACTGTATAAAAATATGACTTTTTATGATCAAGTAAAAACTTGGCAAATGAACAGAATAATTTTTTAGTTAACTATAAACAAAAATTAAAAAACAATTCAAACGCAAAATACATTGAAATCTTACATTAGAGGACAATGTGCTACTGAACTGGCACAAAATGGCCACGGACCTATCGGACAAGCTATGGGACAAATCGCTACCATTCGTTGCCAAGTCCCAGAACCAATTAAACAACATATCGCACGAGTGTGCTGGCTCACTGTTCAAAACCATACTAAGCCTCCGCAAACAGGAGACCTGGGCGGTCATGTGTGAGCCATACCATCCCATACCCCCCACCCCCCTCACCCCTCATATCACCACCAAAATCATGATATAAATACGAGACACACATATGTTTTCAGTTGTCGACGCGATGGGCAAACTGCCGGCCGGTTTCCTCGAGGGCACCGTCACTTCGTTTGGCAACGTCGACGAGTGCACTGACATACTGGTGCCCGACGACGACTACGACGACGGCTTTCACGGCAAGTACTGCTTACTATACCTGAGGCCGGAGGTGCCCCGGAAGGTGGCCTTCATCAAGCACACCGACTATCTGTTTAATCTGACGGGCACTCCGGCCGAGGGAACGGTATTCGAGCACCTGTCCCAAGTGTTCACCGGTATATACAGCGTGGGCGCTATACGACTGGGCGTGTGTGTGCCGTCTAATTGTCAAAATGGTGACATTAAGCCGTTATTAACGCAAAGTATACTAGCATTATAATAACGAGCATGATACTATTTTTATTTGTGCTAATCTTAAAGTGAAATAAATGTGTTTTTCGTGTATTTCTCTCTCGTATATGAAAAAGTCTTCAAACCGTATAAAATCGACGCCGACTTAAGCGAGAAATGTCTGTCAAAACACGACTCCCGGGGCCTCACGGTTCACCAGAAAGTGTCTTTGTATGTATGAGTAGGCCTTCCCTTTTCAAATCATCACTACAATACACACAATGCCATATTAAATAAACCTTTTCCGTGTATATAGTATATCGTGCTGCAGTATATTATATTTGAGTGAAATTTATGCAAAACATACAGAATATTCTGTATGTGTATAAGCTGTAGTAATATCCTATGTATAGTCCATTCGCTTGTATGATTAAAATAGTATTTTTCATTTGAATTCCTGTTAGGAGTTAAAGAAAATTGAGTTTTTATTTAATTCAGAGATATATAGTATAATATTATTATATATATACTTACACACATGTGTTTGTTTAATCCATGTATTAAATTGTTTAATATAAATGCAGTAATGTGAATATATGCGATAATATTTGCATTTTATGATTGTTTTTTCAATATTTTTGCATGTAGTGTATTTAATTCACTGTACTATACAAATATACTATTATTTATCGTACTCTATTAATAACATAAATTTTATATTACCTAAATGTGAAGCCATATATATATTATTAATTCCAGAAATTACTATCATTTGATTATTTATGTAAATAGTGAACAATTCTGTTACATAACGGAAACACTAATTTTGATATACACTATAGTAATACATTATATTACACAATGCCTACAGAATAATGACAGAATATTCTCTACGCTACACTACATTACCTTATTATATACACAACTCATTATACCAATGATTAGCATATTTTTAATTAAAACACATTCAGAGCCCTGTTATCGGTGATGACACTATTAGTGGCGATGGGCTCCCTGTCCGACATCATCACCAACGGATCCAACGGTGGATTAGTGCGCAAATCGTTGCACTGTTGGTCACTACTTAGAAATTATGATCAACTCGTGAGCCCATCCGGCAAACGGAACCGACTCATGGCCGCCGTCCATGGGATCAGGGTATTGACGATCATCTGGACGACCATCAATCACACCTACACTTTCGGGGGTTTCTATAAGATTCAGTGGACTTACAGTGAGTATTAGGCTATTATTATGGCATTTGCGAGCGCGGGAACTGTATCTCTAATCGATTATATTAATATTTTTGTGTCGTATGATATACAGAGAGTTTGTCGCAGGTGCGAAAAGTACCCGAGTCATTCATGTTTCAATTAGTGTTCAACGCGTGGGCATTAGTCGAGACTTTTTTCTTTCTCAGGTATTAATATTAATACTATTTGTTTGGCGATAATAGTCACAGAATATCGCGAATTATATCACATGTTATTCCCTATACTATGAGAGAAAAAAAGAAATTTAATTTCCAAAAGTCTTAAAAGTATTAAAAGTTCAACATTTGTTGTATATTTTTTTCAGTGGATTACTCGCTATTTATATAACGCTTCCGATGTTAGAGAAAACGAGAGGTCGACTAAATATCTCGCTGTTTATCTTTCACCGATTAATTAGGTTTGCATTTAATGAGCGAGCTATTTTTCATAATTTATTCACCAGTATAACGCAAATAGCTATTTAATTATTTACATACAGAATGATACCCTCCGTGTGCGGCATAATAGCCGTCAACTTTTTGTGGCCCCTTTTGACTACTGGTAAGCCGTATATGACTTAATCATTAATTATGTTTTCATACAATAAAATGGATTACTTTCGCGAGAATATCTGACATATCGTAACATATTGTATAATATATAATATTAAATGCTTTTATACTGTATATAAGGGTATAGTTTATCATAGTTTTCACGACTTGCATAACACTTATAAACCGATTTAAGGGCCGATTCTGATCGACGACTCCACCGACACTTATGTCACCAATAATTGCCACAATAATTGGTGGCATAACTTGCTGTTAATCAATAACTGGTTCAGCCCGGATGACATTGTATGTACATGCTATAATAATAATAATATTTTGTGCAATTCCACCCGGATTATTGACTAATAAATTTATTCTATACATGGTGATTACAGTGTTTAATAAATACATGGTATTTAAGTGCCGACTTTCAGATGTTTTTGTGCGCTATACTCATTATATACACATTTTATTGGTATGAAAAATGTACACTTTTTTTGTGTGTATTTTATATTAATGAATACATAGTTTTTAAGTGCACTTATAGTATGGCAGAGATTTTTGTAGTAAAAACACATTTTCCTACGACCATAAAGTTGGGCATAATTTTCAATAATGACTTTTCTTTGGTGTAAAAAATATACTCTTTTTTCTGTGAACAATACATATACCATAAAAAACATACTATTTTGATCCCATTCCCCTTAAGAGTTGACTACACTTTTAAAAAATCTCTGCCTTACTATAAGTGCTATCTATTTGTTATCCATACAAAAAAGCTTCATTTTTAAAGCCTAACAATTTTTTAAGTATTCATTTTATACATTAATTTTCAATTACATGATCACCAAGGAACAAAACGTATGGTTTAATACTCAATGGACTGGTGCTGATAATCTCAATCATAGGGTCGGCATTAATGACATATTACTGGCATTTGTATCCAACGCTACTTAGCGATCACACCATTAATCTGGAGTTAGATATATAGAAATCATGCAATTATTGTGTATTGTATAGCAAATGATAGCAAATATTTATTTTTGTATTGAAAGGTATGTCGAGTATCACCTCAAATATGGATATTTCCCGACATTTCAACACTTCGGGCCCTATTGTATGGGAATATTTGTCGGATACTTTATACTCAATACACCGAATAATTACCGATTGCCCCAGGTTAGAATATAATTATATTTTTATTTTAAATTTAATTTAATATTTAATCAAGATATTTAGTATTCATACAAATATACTATCAATTAACTTATTCTCATTTGTAGAAATTTAATAAAATTATTTTAATTTATTTTTATATAACTAGATTAATTTTTATCTATCTACTTTAATAATTATTATTAAATTATAAGATAAAATACATTTTAACTTTAGCGCATACAGAATATTCTGTGCTGAATATACTATCATAAGAGTAAATAGGATAAGTATATACAACAAATCATTTAATGATACATTGCATAATACATTGCTATGTTATATACACAAATATGTAGACCCAGAGCATAATCTCATGGATCGTATGTCCGCTCATCAGTCTGTCAGTCCTACTATTTACATACAACTGGAATAATGGGGTCGAGCCGAGTAGGCTTTCCTCGATATTATACTCGAGTCTCTCGCGAACCATTTGGTGCACCGGCTTGTCGTGGATTACATACGTTTGCTGTATTGGCTCCGGAGGTCTATATATGATATATAACTATATAACGATTGCTTACTTACTATGCGATTCCGGATGTCAACGAAACATATATCGTATAATACATGCTATTATTTATTAGGAGTCGTCAATAGACTACTGTCTCATCCCGTGTTTGTGCCGCTGAGTCGACTGAGTTTTGGCGTATATTTGTCTCATTTGGTGATCATATTCATCATATTCTTCACGAGAAAGTCGGTCACCGATTGGACGCACTTTGATTTCGTGAGTGATATTTATCTGCTAAAACTTATATCATATTTATATACACAAACATAATCTAGCAACTTATTTTTTATGCAGCTTACTAACGGAATGGTGACCATTATATTAAGCTATGTGTTGGCACTAGTGTTGTATTTCTTATTGGAGGCGCCGTTCGCTAACTTTGAAAAAGTATTTTTTAAGCAAAGTATGAATTCTGGAAATAATGGCAAAAATACAGCTAAAGAATTGCATAAAACACATGAAATAAGTGGTAATAATAATAATAATAATAAGGAAGGTTCATTTTCTAAGATATCGCATGTATTAAATATTACAAAAATGTAAATGCAAAATAAATACATTTGAATAATAAAACGATTACTGTATACTTTTATTGTGGCAACACTGATTATGGGATATATTTACAAAGTGTCATAAATATTGCCCTGAAATTTGATACTAATCTTACAAACAATTTTTAAAGTAATACTAAAATCTTATATTTTACAGCATATCTCATGGATTTTACTAAAATAATTATCATGATAAATTTGTGCCTTTTATATTAGCATGCAAATATTTATTATGCATTGATATATTATGTATTATACTTTAAAATATTTGAACTTTTCCCATATATCTAGGACCTGGATTCCTAGGTTAATCACGTTTTGTCAAATCATTGATAGTTTTATATGGGATTATAAAATATTTATGTCAATAACCACATGAATTGCAAAATAAAATAAAAAACTAACTCTTTTTTCCCAGGGATTAAGTCAATTGACTCTACAGTATGAACGCAAAGTCAATTCAAATACTATTAGACTAATAGATACTCATATCAAACATATAGTCAAAAATAATAGCAATTTTAATGAACCCGGCTAATTGTGATCGCAATGCGGACGAGCCGCTCATTATTCACGTGACCCCAGACCAGGGCTGGGCGTGGGTTATATCCATAGCCTGCGCGGCCATCAATGGCATCACCTTTGGTTTGGTCCGGTCTTATGGAGTGGTATTCTTCCAGCTCTTGGATACATACAAATTGTCTCGCGAGTCAGCATCATGGCCATTTTGTCTCTGTACCACATTCACTCACTTATCAGGTAAGTTTAGTATTATTAAAATCTGATATAACAATCTAATGATCTTGGTAACAGGTCCAGTGGCCGGTATGTTACTATCACAGCATCATGGCCATTTTGTCTCTGTACCACATTCACTCACTTATCAGGTAAGTTTAGTATTATTAAAATCTGATATAACAATCTAATGATCTTGGTAACAGGTCCAGTGGCCGGTATGTTACTATCGCACTATTCCATGCGCACTATTGTATTCATCGGTGGACTCATAGCTGCCGTGGGAATGATTTTATGCTATTTCTCGACATCTATTATAGAGATTACGATTTATATCGGAATTGTACAGGGTGAGATTTTCTCATATACGGTATTATTCTTGATACTAATTTAATGTAAAAACACACAAAGGTTTCGGAATCGGCTTATCATTCATGCAAACGCCGGTAATATTAGCGCAATACTTTCAAAAGTACCGAGCCACTGCCACTGGTATATTAACGTATCAATGATCTAGCTAAAAAATCGCTTTAAAATAATCTTACACTCAATTTGACAGCCATTTCCTACGCGGGCGGTACCATCGGCTCATTCATATTCCCGCCGATCATTGAATACATTTTACCCGTTTATGGTCTCAACGAGTCATTCCTCATAATTGGCGGCATTTTATTGAATTCACTGCCGTTTGCGCTACTCTTACGTCCGGCCACTCCCGGGCATGCGATGAATAAATTGCTATCAAACTGGGATAAAGTGCACAAAGAGTTGCCGATCAGCAAAATGCCCAAAAAACACGATATAAAGGAACCGACAAAACTGACAAACCTTGAACAAATCGCCAAACAGCTAGCACAATCGCACAACCATTCCGTGTATGTCAGACATCACTATAATAATTACGACCCCTTTATTGCCCCACTAGTGATGATAGACCAGGCGTTCAATCGGAACTACAATTCTGTGACAAACGCGTTGATTGAGAGCGCGGATCAACTGGTGGACGACCTCCAAGAGCTTCATCTGACGCTCAATCCTGTTTATGACTACAATTGCGTTTGTCTGGAGAAACAGATTTACTTTGAAAACGAGTCCATAGGCAATGAAAAGGCCAGTCAGACGGACCCCAACACTACTGATTGGCAGAGGAAGTGGCAGAATGTGATGTCAGTCCTCAGTAACCCTTTATACCTGATTCTGTGCACTACTCACGTGTCCTTTCAATGGGCGTAAGTCTGCCACCAATTGCCTTAAAACTGTCTTAACATTAATGACAATATCATTGAATTACGGATCAGTTGGATGACCCACCAGATGGTGATCATAGACTACGCTATGGACAGAGGGATGTCCACCGATGAAGCGGTCATACTGTTGAGCTCCTTTGCCGTGGCCGACCTGTTCGGGCGACTGGCCTCCGGACTACTGGCTGACAGGCGTTTGGTCCGTAAGAGGAATATCATCTCCATTTGCATACTACTCATCGGTGTCCTAATCTTCATGACACCGGCCGCCACCACATTCAGGATACTACTGGTCGTGACTATAGCCCTGGGCTTTGTCAGCGGCGCCATTATCGTACTCTTCAGTATCCTAACCATGGAGTACGTGGGCCTCAATCGACTGCCCATAGCCTTAGGCACGTCGGCGTTCATTGTGGGCACCAGTACTCTTGGCCGACCGCTAGTTGTCGGCTATTTTCGGGATACCTTTCACTCATATGATGGTCTCTTCCACTTTGTGGGCGTTTTAGCACTTCTGGCGGCACTCCTGTGGCTGTCGGAGCCGTTCGCCCGGCTATGGGTCACCCGACGTACCAAATACGGCTCCGGCTGTAAAATTAGTATCCTTTAAAATTAAAACCTAGTACACTTTTTACAGCTTACCAAAGATTACCATGATATTTAGCTTAATTTTGGTACTAGTTTTGTATTTCTTATTGGAGGCGCTGTTCGCTAACTTTGAAAAAGTATTTTTTAAACAAAGTATTATTTCTGGAAATAATGGCAAAAATACAGCTAAAGAATTGCATAAAACACACGAAATCAATGATAATAATAATAATAACAATAATAAGGAAGGTTCATTTTCTAAGATATGGCATGTACAGGGTGGCCAAAATATGGCTATACTACTTTAATTTCAATTTATTTCAATACCGTCTTGTTTATTTTATCGATTTATTCACTAAATTGTAGCTGGATAGTTAGGGTTTTGTTTGGTATATGATTTGTCCATGTCGGTATAAACCAAAATTTTATACAAG